CTTTCATTTCAGCGAGTTCTCTTTTTCAGACAGTTTATTGCTTTTTTGAGTGGTGTTGTGCCACTTCTGTTAATGACGCTTTCCAAAGTACACATTTGGAAAATCGAAGGCAGCAATAGCACACAATCGAACACCGTACTAATTCTTTTCAGAAAATTCGCTCTTTTCAAATGCAGGGGCGGCCTTCGCTCCACAACTCAGAACAAACACTTTGCATACTAAACTGCACCCGACATTCATGCTTCTATCATAATATTCCTTACATGTTCACATAAACAGATAGAAGCACACCCGACTTGCGCCGTTATTTTGTTCGATGAATTCTGATACGTGCTCCTTGTTTTACTGAAGTGCTTAATTTAAGAGATTCATCCTTGCTTAGCTCTTCACTCCTCGCTGAGTGTAAATCACTGACAGGCTCTGAGGTAATGATCACCACTTGTATGAAATTGCTGTGACGACATGAGAGAGTCAGTAGAGATTAAGTGCCTCATAACCCATATTGGCGTATGATGCAATAAGACCACATACACCCACGTCCTCGACGTCTTTTGCATTAGACGTCAAATTTGACAGAGTTTAGCTACGCTCGGAATTCTCCTCGCTGTTAATTGGAGCAGAAAAGTGCACACAATTCAAGGGGCCGTAAAAACAATGGAATCGCGTGCATTGACGAAAGGTGTGCTCCACGAACCAGCGATTGCGACACGATTGGCGTCTGTTTCTTGATATTACTCCAGAAGACGTTACACGGATAACCATGGAAAAGTCGAGAGATATGTGCTAAGTTTAAGTGCCTCGGAATTTTATTTACCAAACAAGTCGATCTATTATGACAACGGTTGGCAAATAATGTTGCTTTTATCAGTTTAAATGCCATATGCATCTAAGTCGGGTGTAAATATTAATCTAATACGCAAATTCAAGCATGGGATTTTTATGCGCATAATTTATGGGCGTCTGATTTGCCTTAGCTTAGCTGAGGGGTGCGAGCCATCAATTACAATTGATCCGTGATGAATGTCCCACGCTCTGATATGCCTTGCCGTAACTGCAAGCACTTCGTGGAAGTGCGACCTGTCTGAACGCGCATAGCATTTCATTCCCATGGTCAGGATCACCTATGGACATCTGGATATAATTTGAGCTGATTTCTGAAGAGGGTGGAGGTAAATTATTAAAATAATGGGAATGCAAATGAAAGTGACACTAGTTGAGGAGATGACAAGGCTGGTTGCCCGTGGTCAAATGAAGCAACGTCTGAACTGCTATTTCGAGACAATCTCGAATGCATAAAAGCCTGGCCGTTGGTGATTAAATTGCCTAAAATTAGGGTTTCACGAATCTCAACAGAATCTAATGATGCCATTGCGGATGTGAAATAATGTTGACGTTCTCTAGGCAATGTGATGTTCCTGTGGTGACCTTGTTGTTGACTTTAAAATGACATGCAACAGCTAAAGCCACACTGACTCCCAATGCCTCGAGTCGTCATTGGTGATTTTGGACTCGGAATTTAGGAATTATCTGCATCTTTTACTGGATAACTCATGGTAAAAATAATGGCTGTTTCCCGTTTCATGGGATTGGTCCCTTTTTTGTAGTCAGAAATATCCAGTATTTTGGTGTTAGTCATGTGAAAGGCAGTTTGGTTGCTTATGCACAGAGCATTGTAGTGAAGAAATTAGCCATCGAGAAGGTGTCGTCTCAGTGGCGACAATGTGTGCACTACTAGAATTCAAGAATCCCGCATGAGAACACGCACTTGCGCGCGTCCGCTGTTTACAGCGCAGATTCATGCAACATGGGTGGATGTTGAATGACAGTAATTTAACGTCTTCGTGGTTTCTAATGCACTTCACTTTAGTCTACCTACTTGAGTGTTAACCAACTAGGAGAGGACTGATCATCACTTGTAAGAAAGTGTTGTGACGATTTGCGAGAGATGGTAGAAATTAGTTGTTTCATGGAACCTCTCGCCGTATGTTGCAAGATCACATGCACCCAAGTACTTGACGTCTTCTGCATTTGATGTCAAAAATTGTCACACAGCTTCACCTACGCTCTGAAATCTCTTCGCTATCAATTAGAGTGAATAGGAACATACCATTTAAGAGGCTGTCATAAAATAATTGACTGGTCTGCACTGATGAAAAGCGAGCTAAACGAACCAGTGATTGCGAAACTGAGAAATGTGTGTTAAGTTTAAGTGCCTAGTGCCTTTTCTACCAAGATAGGACTATCTATCATATTTTAAAACGCGGCAGTTAATGCTGCTTTTACTAGTATAGATACTGCTTACAAAGAAGTCGGGTGAAAATATTCATCCAGTACCCAAGTTCAAGCTGACGGTCTCGAAGCCTACACCTGTAAACCTTATACTCAGGAGGTGTCTTCTCACTTAAATTATGGGCGTCTGATTGACCATAACTTTGCGAGAAGGGCACGAGACATCAGTTGCAATTGATCCGTGACGAATGCCCTACTATCTGCTATGCCTTGACGTAACCGCAAACACTTCGTGGAATTAAAATCTAAAAGAGGGGTTTGGCATTGACCCACCATGTACAATGATGAAGTAGATGATTCAAATGAGCACAGAATTTCGTTGCTCTTGGAGAACCCGCCAATTTGAAGCCTCTGTCACCCTGCATTCAATAAGCCCTCCTCACATGGCTAATTATATTATCCCCAAAATTTAGTTGTTTTTGCTCATTCATGTGCTCAAAACACGTCCACTTCCCGGCATCACAAAAACCGTGAAATAAATTGCCAGAACTCAAAGTTCTACACCATCTTCCTAGATATGACAGCATTCCCCTCATAAGACTTGTAGTGCTCTAATTACCTCTTTACTTTACACTACCCAGATCTTAAATCGTGTGCGCCAGATATAATTGGGGCAGAGGTGTGTTTGTGCAATGCAAATAAGGTATAGTAGAGAAACTTTATCTTCTCTTAACAGCTGGAATTGCTGCCTTTGAGGAGATTTGCTGTTTTACCAGATAGATGCTTAAAAGGAACGGATACTGTACTTGCTACCAAGATTGCATATGCGTGACGTTGAAACTGACTACCTCCGCCTAGTGCCATTAATGTGTAAGGCTGTGTTCTGCATCGGTTGATGCTAAGTGACTGTACTAGACCATGGTGAGCAGAGAGAAGAGACGATAATATTTATTTTAAGAATGAATTGCTTGCATTTATTGACTCCTGCGAAGATAAATAACCTCCTATACTGGTACTGAGGTTATCCCACGCTTTCACAATTTCATTTTAAGAATATATTCCGTAACCCACCTACACCTAGCGCGAGTCCATGCAGTAGTGGGCATTTTTTACTACTTTAGTAGAATTAGTTGCCATTTGAACCTGTAAGCAGGAAGTGAATGAATTGTGGATGAAGGCAAAGACTTAACTGTATTGTTTTGCAGTATCTCGCAGCTTGATCCACACGCTGGTGACAAGAGGTGGAAGTGGTGGTGCCTCTGCTACAGCGCTACCCCTCTCTCCCACTCCCACCACTATTGCACAGCATCTATACACTGAAATCGAGGCAACTTGTCGGCTCATGCTTTGGCTGGCTGAATACCCGTACAGAATGTCATAGATGTTGGATGTGATTGTGACGAATGCTGACACCTGGTCTGAAGGTTCCTAACGCAGTAGTCAATCGAGTAGCTACGTAGAGATGTTTGTAATGATAACATTAGGGGACTAAAAGCTTCCACAAAGGATGTGTGAGAACCTGGGAGGAAGACAAGGTGATGTGTGACAGGCATGAAATGTGGATGTGGATCTGATGCGATGACCGTTTGAACGTATGCGCGGTAAGGAACACAGCCTCTCCTCAGTTCACCTCACCTCACCTTATGGAGGGCAAAACTTGTTAAAATAACCTCAACAGGCAGCAAAGTGGTCCCCATTGCCGAAGTTAATGATGTCGTCACGGTGTCGTCAAGTATCAGCACGAGCCTGACATAAATGCCCTCTTGCAAATCTCAATATCCTTCTCTGACTTCCTCTATTTCCCCTTTTCCTTGATTACTTTCCGAAATTCGGACACTGTTTAATATGCCACAGACCAGTTTGCGGCCTAGGGAATTAAATTAGTTTGTCATTTTCAAAGTGCACAAAAAACCTAGGTGAATGAGGAGGGGAAGGGGAAAGGAGAATAGTTTACTAACCTTTTCAACCACTGCTGTGGGTTTTGCCCAAAATTGAGAGGTAAGCTGAATAGGCCTAAAGTCAAGCAGAGTAAATAGTATAAACTCCTGCATTTCCTCCACTCATGCCCACATCAATCCACTTCCCTCCACAACACCCGCACTTCGCATTGACCAACTTGCCTGCCACAGGCTGCCGCGAACCTTAACAAGCGGTGTCAAACCTTACTGCTGCCAGCCATTTTGCCCATGTGCAAAGAGGAGACGCCATCTGTTCTACTTCCTTTACATACCATTGGGCTGGAGATACAAGAAGCTGCAGGGCACGACAGGCGTCATGTTCTTATCAGCGTCATAACAAAGCGTAAAGCTGCCCGTAGAGAAGGCTGCCTTTACCCATGCCAAAGTGCACTCGCTGCGCCTGTGCAACACTCTTCAGTCATGTGATGCGAGACGGACTGAAGTGCACCAGAATAAAAGGAAGGAAAAATTTGCCGCATCTCAGTCCTTGTCCAATTGGGCGAATACTTCGATCTGAGTGGTAAGACGTTTGCTGTGAGTGGGAAAAAATAGGCAAAATGTGATTCCAATTATACCAAATATATCATGCAAATGAAATTCTGTCCAAATTTCTACATTTCTGTCCCTCTAAAACATCTGTTACCTGAGAATGACCAAGTTCGGCCATTGTGCATCAGGCGTTGCGGTAGGTGTTGAAGCCTGAGTGGAAAAGCTGCAAGAGAAATCAGTTATTCGGGATGCTAACATTGAAATTTAGAAGGGCGATAAGGTGAATTAACAATCTGGATATTATTCTCCAAGTGAGCAAACGAGTGCATCAACTTCAAGCAGCTAAACGTGTGCTGGTGGAGCAAACTGCACGAGGGCCTCTGGCCTCAAGGACAGATATCGTGAAGTGTAAATGTGATGATTGAAATTGGAAGTTGAAGACAAAATCTACCTCCTTCTAATTCTTTTTTAAAACTTTGTAGATTGCCTTCCATAGGCAAAGCGAAGGGTTTCATTTATGGACTGTCACAAGCCAAATTTGACGACATTTAGAATGTCTTCATTTCCACACGTCGACTTTCAACTATCTTGTCAGTATGGCCTTTTGCCAATGAGGTTAGCCAAATTTCTTCCAGAGGATTTTTCATATGCAATTTATACACCACCAAAGTGCACATTTTGAGCCATTTACCCGAGAGGGCTAAAAAGCTGCTTTTGCAAAAAGGATTATTTTACTTTTCACCTCATCTTTTTTTCATCTCTTTTTCCACCAGGAATGCAGTGCTTCACCTCTGCTGTGCATCCCAAATACATGGAAATCTAAGTCTGACTCCTTTATACGGACTTAAGTAAAGGCATTGTCTTTAATTTGGAAGGTATCTCATTACTATGGCTGGCTAACAGGGTGACACGGCAGTTACACCGGCGAGTAAAAGACGCTCAACACTGCATTGACTTACACAATATCGTAGCCAGAAATGCATGGGTGTAAGTGTGGTGCCTACAGCAAGTTCGCACAGGTTTAGTACGCACGTGCTTGCAGTGAAGCTAAATGGAATCAGCTGGATTTACTTTCTCATTTGTAACTCAGGGCTATAGGTGGGAATAAGTGTAAGCGTTCGTATTATTCTGATGTGAATATTTTGAGGGATCGTGTGGTTTGTGAGGTAAAAGCAACCATTCTCCTGGTTCATTTCACCCTTTTAAAGTCAAAAGGGAAGCAATCCTTCAACTTAGTGAACATGCGCAACTGCTGGTAGTGCCGACTTCATTTTAAAGTTATTGATAAATGCTTGACATCGCTCAAAACATGCTGCTCCTTGTCTTACATGAAGCATGGAGACCAAAGTGAGACACTGTTTGACCAAGGGACACAGTTTGTGTGCTCTTCGCCTTCCTATATGTTACTGATTTTCTGCACCTCTACCTCTTGTAATATATGCATCCAACTATCCATTTACGTCGGATATCATTCACAGGGCATAATTTGTTCCGTGAAAAGATTTTCTTTGATAAAAGTTTTAACTGTTTACCACCAACCCACATGTCTGCAGTGATATGGACTGAGACGTTTTTCACAGACAAGCGTACATTTTCTATTAGGTCGCGTTTGGGATCAATGGATCACATTAGTTCTCAACACTGCACTGACTTACGGCATATCGCAGCCAGAAAAGTGTGACTGTAGTGCTTGCAGTACGTTTTCACGGGTTCAGTCAGCACCTAGTTAGAGTGAAAATAAGTGTATATCAATTTCAGTGGACTTAGTGAGAGACGAGAAGGCGGGTTTGCTAATATTTTATGAGAATTATTCAAAGTAAACCAACATCTCCTACGGCTGCTTCGTTTTCTCTGGCAATAGCGCGTTTATGGTTACCTACATCAATAATTGGCAAAGTGGTGCGTAAAACAAATTTATCATTTAAAGCGATTCAAGTGTATCAGCACCGAATACCTCCCACAGTATTGGCACACTCACCAAAGTAGAGCGATGGAATACCCATGAGTAATTTGCGTTTTGGTAAATTAATTCAAGTTGACAGCATTCTTTGCACTGATTTGCTTTTCTAACTTAAGCACATTTAAGCGGACGCTTTTATAAGATGTAGAAGTAAAGAATTTATTGCAAAGTCGCTTTTTCCACTTTAGTCAGTTCTGCATATCGAGTCATTTGTTTCGATTTTGGATGTCATTGTACTGCCCCTGTTAATGACGCCCATAAGAAGCACGCAGCTGGGCGATCAAAAGTAACAAAAGCAAGAAATCAAACACCGGCTTTTTTATTTTAATAAAAAATTTCAATTTTCAATTGTTAGGTAAGAATTCACTCAGACCAAACACTTTGCATATTGAAAATGCATCCTACATTAATGCGTATATGATAATATTCCTCACAATTATACATAAACAGATGGAGGTACACCTAACCTGACCTGTTATTCTGCTTGATGAATTTTGATACATGCCCCTTTTCCTACAAAGCAATTTAATTCAAGAGACGAGCGTTTGCGCGGCTCTGCACTCCTCGCTGAGAGTGAATGACTGACATGCTCTGAGGGATTGGTCACCACTTGTGTGAAATTAAAATGACGATATGCGGGCCTCAGAATAAATTATTTGCCTCGTAAAACATCATGTCGAATGATTCAACAAAATCACATGCACCCACATACCTAACTTCTTTCGCATTAGACGTCAATAAATTCCGTGGTGTTTAAGTACGCTCTAAAATATTTACCCTGTCAATTGTAGTAGAATAAAGCAGGAAATTTGAGAGGCTATCAAAAGTAACCAACTACTCTACATTAATAAAATGCTTGCCCCAAGAAACCAGTGATTACAACACTATTGGAGTATGTTTCTTGACATTACTTCAAAAGACGTTACATGGCTAGACATGCAAGGTCAAGAGAAATATGTTATGTTTCCTGATAATAATAATTTGGCAGACAATGCTGCTGCTATTATTTTAAGTACTACTTACAATGATATGGGGTGAAAATACTCATCCAGTACGTAAGTTTTAAATAATGGTCTCGAGGCAAACGCTCGTGAAATTTTATCGGCGTAAGATGCTTTTGCATTTAATTTGTGAGCCACCAATTGTGATTGATCCGTGATGAACACACAAAACTCTGATATTCCCTGAAGTAACTGCACAGACGTCATGGAAATACAGACCGTCTGATCGCGGGTGGCAGTTCATTCTTAATGTATGATCAACAAAGCGTTTACAGGACCACCTAAGATCATATGGCTATAATTTGGGATGATTTTGAGAAAAGTGATTAAAAGAAATCATAAAAATAATGGAAATGCCAATGAAATTGACACTTGGTGGAGAGGTAACAAAGCTGGCTAACTGTTTTCAAATAAAGTAATGTCTGAAGTACCATTTCGTGCCATTTTCGAAGGCCTACAGACGAGAGAGCTGGCAATTAAATTGACTAAACATTGGAGTTCAAAAAATTAAACACAATCCATTTTAGGAGGTGCTGACGTTCTTTAAATAATGTGATGCGCCAGTGGTGACCCTGTCAAAAAAGCTAAATTCGCATTTGCTCTCAATGCCTCAGGGCGTCATTAATGATTTTAAAATGCCATAAATGCAACTCCAATACAATATTTGAGTCCAAAATTACAAAATCATCTACATCATTTGCCGAAGAAAACAGTGGTAGGACTAATAGCTGGTTCCAGTTTCATGAATTGGTCCCAAGACCGTAATCCAAAATGATCGGTATTGGGTGTTAGTCTTGTGTGCAAAGAGCACTGTAGTGAAGAAATTAGCCTTCAGAAAGGCGTTGTCTCAATGGCGATATCGTGTGCACCAATAGAACTCATTATTCCTGTATGAGAACATGCACGTGCAGACGTATGCTGGTTAAATTGCAGAGGGTGGGCATTGATTGACAATATTTTGACATCACTGTGGTTTTACCGCACTTCACATAGGTCTATTTTCTTGATTATTGACCAAGTAGGAGGGACGCAACGACAGCAGTAATTGTGCCATGCTTGAAAGTGTTTTGTAACCGAAACTTACAAGCTATTCTGAAAATCGGGTGGAAGCTAACGATCAGCAGAAGGCAGTCCTTTGCGGCATTTAATCTCTAAATAAAATTTTTTGGCCAGTATAAGTAGTGCGACGGCGGCAGCGTGCTCAACCTCTGTGAAACGTGACCAAACTATCTGGCAGTCTGCAATTGCTGAAGATCAGGCACAGCACTCATATCATCGCTACTCTATTTGGTGATGCAAGATTAGATTTTACTCCACGACTCAGACCAAACACTTTGTATAGTAAATATGCATTTGACATTAGTGCTCATATAATGATATTTCCTACATTTCCACACCTGACTTAAGTTGGCAATTTGCTCAATGAACCCTGATGCATGCTCCTTGTCCTACAAATTTATTTAATTGGGGAGACAAATTCAGACTTAGCCCTGCGCTCCCCAACAAATGAATGACTGACGTGTATGCGAGAGTTAGAAGAAATTAATTGCCTCATAGCACGTCCCGCCATATGATGCGAGAAGGTCACATGTACCTACATACCAGATGTCTGCATTTGACGTCAAAAGTTTTACAGAGTTGTACCTACACCCTGAAATCCCTTGGCTACCAATTGGAGTGGAAAAGGTACACACCATTTAAGAGGCTGCCATAGAGTAATCGACTGACCTGCACTAGTGAAAAGCATGTTCCACGAACCAGTGATTGTAACATTACTGGAATATGTTTATTGATATTCCTTTAGAAGATTTTGCATGGCTAAATATGCAAAGCTCGGAGGTACGTGCTGAAGTGCAAAGTGCTTATACTAACCAAATATGACTATTTGTCATGAAAAAGTAGTCAGTTAATGCTGCTTTAATGGTTTAATTGCTAATTACAATGAGGGCGAATAAAAACTATTCATCTAGTAGTCAAGTCCAAGTTAATAGTCTCAATGGGCATGAGATGCCTTTGCACATAAATTATGAGCGTCTGATTACCTTAACATGGCAGAGGGACACGCGCTACTAAATGCCCTAAGGTCTGATAGGTCCTACGTAACTGCACAAGCTTTGTAAATATGCGACCTGTCTGAACCTGCGTGGCACCATTGGTGATTTTAAATATGTCGTACATGCAATTCTAAAACAACAACTCGGATCGAAATTTCAGCAATCATTTGCATTATTTACCGGAGGAAACTTGGCCCGTCCCCATCACGTAATTCAAAATAATAGGTATTTTGATACCAGTCTTGCAAATATCAGTTTGGTTGTGTAAAAGAGTACTGTAGTAAAGAAATTAGATGTTGAGAAAGCGTCGTCTCACTTACAACAACGTGCACACCAGTGAAATGCAGGATCCACATATGAGAAGATGCGTCTGCTGATTAAAATTCAGCTGCATGTGACATGGGTCGATGTTGATTGACTATAATTTGACGTCACTTTGGCTCTTTCTGCACTCCACGTCAGCCTATTTACTTGAGCATTGGCCAACCCGAAGAGAAGCAGCGCGAGGGCCAATTGTGCTATGCTCGAACAGGTTCCGTAACAGGAACCTAATAAATATTCTAAAAATTTCAGTGGGAGCAGACCATCAGCTGACAGCAGCCCTTCGCGTCATTTAATATCTAAGTAAACTTATTGGCGATGCATGAGCAGTGAGACAGTGGTAGTGTGCTCAACCTTCGTGAAAGGCGAACAGAACTAGCTGGCAGTCAGCTATTACTAAAGACCAGACACAACAATCGCAGCATGGTTACTCGATCTGATAACATATAAAATCATGTTGCACTCGAATTGCAACTTTGCGCACAACTTTATCCTCCAGATACTATTTACATGTCGCATGGAATTCTTTCAATTGCGGTGCTACACGATTTTAGCCATTAAATAGCGAGATTTCCTGACGCCTAATCTCCTCATTAGATTGGTTTGAACTCACACAACTAAACATCACTTTTTTTTAAGGCAAACTCCAGAGTAATAGTGGTTAAGGATTTCTTTACTACCAGTAATGGCGCTGGTGTAGTGTTAACAGATGTGAATTGCCAGATTGGGTTTTGAGGTGGCTAGCACAGACAATGGAGATGGAAGAGGGGTCTGATATCGGCACACCATGTACAATGCAAACGTGGGTGATTCAAATGAGCCCAGAAATTCGCTGGCTTTAAAAAAGGCCCCTCGTTTTGCAGCCAATTCCACCTTGTATTCAATAAGCTCTCCACACATGACTAATCATATCATCCCTCAAAAATCCGTAGTTTTTACTCTTTTGCGTGCTCTAACTACGTCCACTTTCCAGCAACATTAGGAATAGCAAAATTAATTACTTTAATACATTGTAACATCTGCCTAGATTTGAGAGTATTCTCCTCATAAGATCCCCAATGCTCTAGGGCACCTTACTTTATAACCCCCCTAGCTTAAATCGCATGCATAAGAAGAGGGTGAAACAACTCCCGTTGTCAACGTCATTTGCGTGTTAGCGACACTTTGCCTAATTTCATTTTGGCAGATGTACCCGAGTCAGCGCTGACA